TTTTTTTAAAACGTCGCGCTGGACGGGCATGCGCACTGGGCTCGCTTCCAGGTGTCAGTTGCTCACCTCAGTAATTTCCCACTCTGATTACAACATGTGTTATGTATCATTCTGCGCAATATTCGCTTAGATGAAAATGAGACTGGAGTAATTAATTGAAGAAGTAAGGAAGTATCCTTGTTTGAGGAAGAAAGCGTTAGAAGAATATCGGAAACAGAACATGCGGGATAATGCCTGGGACATGATTTCTGGAGAACTGAATACACCAGGCAATGTACAAACATTGTTCTTTAATCTATAAGTGAAGAAAAATATTTTCATCAACCCCATTCATTCGGAAATATTCTTTAAATTTAACTTCATCTTCATGTAACTGCTTTATCAGACGCTGAAATTCACCAAACTTTGTTCTTCTTAAGTTCACGCCATGCACCCATTTCCTTTTACGTTTACACAAGGAAAGTAAAGGCAAAAGCTCATCGTCGAAATCATCACTGCCCCCCCCCCCGCACACTATCGGCCAACATCTCATTCAAGACTGAGCAGTTTCGTACCAAACATAGCTTTCTGTGTGGCCACGCGGTGCAGCAAACATAGCGTACACAGCGTACGTAGGGTACGTAGCGCTCTGTGTGGCCGCACCTTTATGAAGCTGTAACAGCTATGACCACGGGTTAAATGACAACATAACAAAACAAGGCACAGTACTCAGTAAACAGCAAGACGCCCAAGTCTAAACAGAAACACGTACAGTTGCAAATGAAGCGTTTCTGCCGCTGAAAATCCACTAATATCCAGGAAGCAACGAAGTTCACGCTAGGAAGTTTACGATGTCGGCAGTATCCGTCGGTATGGCGAGTAAGCCAAGAGCTGGATACTAGGAATCTGGGATAGATTCCCGGCAGGGGTACGGGATTTCACATCCAGACCGGCTCCGAGGCCCATCCATCTTCCTCCTAACAGATACCGGTCGGTGGCTCTATCTTTGAGTGTATGAGTAAAGCGACCGAGTCGTGACCCTGACCGTTCACCTCGAATTAGAATACGTGTATGTATACTTAGCCCCCAACACGTTTTCATGGCCTGCTACTTAGGCTAGACTATGCAGCATCTAATGAAGAATTCCATTCCAGTGATTCTCTTGAAAAATGAACGTGTGCGTCGCAGTGAACAGTGTTTCTCGATTTTAACACATGCATAAAGATCTTCACGACAGTGGCATCAAAAGTGTGCACTTAGTGCACTCGAGCGGTGAAATACATGCTCATAAGGCGACACATTGGCTCAGGCATCTGTTAATGCTGCACTACAGTAATCCAAGTATATGATTCAGTGTGACACAGCGTTCAAAATAAACTACACCTGCTGCGCCATCGCTCTGCATGCCACTCAATACTATCGAAGCAGACGAGTGCCACTGCACTCTCTCCACTCACACTTGCACCCACCGCTGTAGCTTTTGTGCTCATTTTTCAGTCTGATATATCACTGCCTCAGAATACAAACTAAAGAGTTGAATACCCCCGACTACCAGACTGCACAGCGTCGAACGGAAAGGAAAGACAATCATGAACAGTAATAAGGATTACAAGATACTAATCCGAAATTGGGCCAGAGATACTACATGGGCAAGGCTCAAAATATCTTTACGACATCGCCCAGGTACCGGTTTGAGGCGCCAACGCTACAGAAGCCAGCTCGGTTCGCAAATGGGACCACAACTACGTGTCACATAAACATACTCAGAATATTGGAATGGAAGTGACTAGTTGTGGCGGTGGAGGCGGTGGCGCCCCTGATGGCCGCGGCACCGAGAAGGTTGGTGTGGCGGTAACGCTTGAGACTTGCATTCAGTAAGTACTGGATACGCGGTCTGAATCTAGCCCGGGACACCGGCTATCCTGACCGAGGTTTTTCGTGGTTCCTCAGTCCCTCAAGCCAAATTTGGGGGCAGTGCCTCAGTTACGCCATTACAGCTTCCTTCCAAATATTTTTAAATCATTTATTCACCGATTATCCTATCATTTGACGCCATATAGTCTGAAATACTAACTTCGGTGTAAAATAAACCACACATAATAATAAATTATTATTATTATTATTATTATTATTATTATTATTATTATTAATTTCTGTATCTGAGTGTTTGCCAACAGAAAATAGCCTGTAACACGTGATCACTACAAAGTATACAGGACTAAAAACATACACTAAAAATTAAACCAAAATAAATACAACGTTAACATGTTAACAGAAACAACGAACTTAACCGAGAAATGAGGATGTATCAGTTAAGTTTGTTGTTTTAACGACGCTGTCGGTACTGAGACTATATAGCGCCGATGACAGTATAATTAATGAATATGGAGCAAGTTTGACGAATGAGAATTGACAGGGGATAGAAGTACTCGGAGAAAAACTGTCCCAGTGCCACTTTGTCCAGGAAAAGATAGCTGAAGGGGAAATAGCGTAATAATATGTTTACTGAAACGTCTAAAATAATAATAATAATAATAATAATAATAATAATGCATTAGTTAAAAAATTTTAAACTCCGTTTGTCAGTTCTGGTTTCCTCTTTCATGGGATATTCAAGTAAGCTTTCAGTATCGACACTACAGAGCGGGATGGCAGACTGACTGATGAATGAAGGCTCAGAAAGGATGTAGAAGGAAGCGGTCGTGGCTTAATCAAAGCTCTATCAGGGTATTTGCATGGGGACTGAGGAAACCACGAAGAAACCTGTTAGAATAGCCGAGATTTGAACCGAGAACTTCCTGAGTATAAGTTCAGCTCGAACTGTTCGGTGTCTGTTTTGCTGTAAGGAACGTGAAGAGGGGGCTAGTATGCATGTGGAAATGGGGAGCAGATCGTGGCCACTCTTGGGATGGCCCCAGGAGTAGGTCCAGAAACATTTAACATGTGGGGTTTCTGTGCTGTTCTGGCTCGAGAATGCACCCGCAGCAAGTTCAGTGTAAAATATGTAAGCAGTTCTGAATATTTCAAAAGTGTAGTCAGCACTATAAGTCTATAAGCAGAGTCATTAAATTTTATTGAAAAGGAAAAATAAAACAATTAAATATTATGAAACATGCAAGTTAAATAAGCACCTTACTTACCTTGATATAATTCCAGTGCTGCATGTAAAGAGAGGGAGAACAGAGCGCATGAGAACACTGCCTTGCGTTTGACACACCAGCTCAACAAATACGAGTATAAACATAACATGTGATCCTCTGGCTTGTAACGCCGTACACTTCGGGGACGGCTTGACTTTCGGAGGAATATGACGGTTACATCTTCAGCGTGGAAGGGTAACCCAAGCAAGAAACCAGCTTGCTGCCTGTTTCTGCTGATTTCTTGCTTGCTTTCAACAGTCCCGGGTTTTGGCACCATGCGCCACTTTCAGATTTTCAAGTGATTTCATTCCTCAGCAATTTAATTCGAGTTCAACACACTTTTCGTCTTGGTGTCCATCACCAGTATAAGAAGCAGATCCAGATCCATTCTTAATTGCCTGTTCATTTAAGCGTGCGCCAATCACAAAATATATATTAAATAATATTCTTTCAATTACAATTACTACAGAGCCGGTCACGGTAGCCGAGCGGTCTAAGGCATGCACTCGCTGTCTTCGCTCGATCGGAAGCCGGGATCGTGGGTTCGAATCCCACTCAGAGCATTGATGTTTAGTGTTTGTGTGTATATGTGCGTTTTTCTGTTTGTGTACAAGTAGAGGCCTTGCGACGAGCTGATCGCAAGCCCAAGGAGTCCTACGGAATGTTTTAAGGTCTAGTAAACCGAAGTGAAACGGAGAGTTTCATGGAGGTAGGCCATGGCCCAAATTGGGGATGTAGCGACATGTGAAAAAACAACAAAACAATTACTACAGTATTATGAAACTTACTTTCTTTAATTAAAATTTCAATCAGAACTACAAACAAATAATTCACTGTAAGGTAAAGTTTTCCCATGAAGACGTTGGGGGAGTGGATGTATAAACCCACGTTTTCTTGACCTCGGCCCTATTTAAGGCGAGCGATCAGCTTCACGTCCCCGGAGAAAGAGCCCCCGGTACCTAATGGATAGGAGGCTGAGTGGGCCGCAGAGTCGGTCTGGACGGCACGGAGAAGTGAAACTTTTTGCCCCCACAGAGACTCGAACTCCGACCCCTCGGTCGCCCAGCCCGCAATTCATTGTACTCTCACATTTATGTGAAACTGCTCGACAGACGTGATTTTTAAGTTAAAGAACTACCTAACCTACGAGGTCAATACATTTAACTAGAATTTCATTCTCTCCTACCTGTTTACTGCTTGGTTTCCCATCTTAAACCCTAAACTGTTCTTGGGATTCTCAGAGGTATCCTTTACACCACAACCAGTCTCACTGCTTTTGGCTTCTTCCCCGCTCCCCACTTACCTCTTTCTCTTTTACTTATTCTCCTCTCCTCGTTGTCCCTTCTTTATTCCCTGTGTGTCTCCTTTTCATTAAATTATCTCCTTTGCAATATGTGTAAACAATTGACGGCCGCACTTAACAATCGCCAGAAGCCAGAGCTAGGGCCTACTTACACAATCCAGCATTTAAAGTGGCAATACTAACAGTACTGCATTACGTACCGAGGCTTTGCCAGTCACGTGCACATGCAACAACACTGAATGGCGACAGGTTTCGCTCCTTTGGTTATCCACAAGCAGACAAGAAACAAAAATGTCTATTGTGCAATAAATGTCCATAACAAAATTCCGCCAAACTGCCATAAAACAATTAAACAAGCATATACCAAACTTCTCGTACGCCCAAGCTGAAACCGGTAGTTACTGACATGCGAATATTTCCACCGCAGAGGAACTGTGCAAGTCGTATCAAGTCTCCTTTACGGGTCTCTTCACAATCACATTGTAATCGAAACAAAAGTCTCACTCAACCAGTAAACTAGAGTCTGAAGACACATCTTGCATGAATATAATTTAATGAGCGCCATGTCACTTGACGAGACATACGAGACTTTTAGCTTTTCCTTTGTAAGAATCTGCGATGGTTCCGAATATAAAGTAATATTATATTGTAACAGATTCATATTCAACATCAGATTCAGTTAGGAGGGAAGTATTGCACAATATTCTGATAGAGTTGGGGATACCCATGGAACTAGTTAGGTTGATTAAAATGCGTTTAAACGAAACGTATAGTAAAGTCCGTGTTGGCAAACATTTGTCTGACAAATTTCCTATCCAGAATGGTCTAAAACAAGGAGATGCTTTAACGCCACTCCTTTTCAACTTTGCTTTAGAATATGCAATTGGGAAGGTACAGCGAAACCAGGTAGGACTGAAATTAAACGGGACACATCAGGTGTTGGTCTACGCCGATGTGAATCTACTAGGTGATAATGTGGATACCATACAGAAAAACACACAAACTTTAATTGACGCAAGTAAAGAGGTTGGTCTAGAAGCAAACACAGAGAAAACTAAGTAGATGTTGCTGTCTCGTCACCAAAATGCAGGGCAAAATCATGACATAAAGATAGGAAACAGATGTTTTGAAAATATGGCACAGTTCAGATATTTGGGGACAACGATAACAGATCGAAACCTGATTCAGGAGGAGATTGAACTCAGATAATGCTTGCTACCATTAAGTCCAAAACCTTTTGTCTTCTCGTCTGTTGTCCAAAAACATAAAAATTAGAATATACAAAACTATAATTTGGCCTGTGGTTCTGTATGGGTGTGAAACTTGGCCTCTGGCATTAAGGGAGGAACATAGACTGAGGGTGTTTGAGAACAGGGTGTTGAGGAGAATATTTGGACCGAAGAGAAATGAAGTGACAGGAGGTTGGAGAAAACTGCATAATGAGGAGCTTCATAACTTGTACTCTTCTCCAAGTATAATTACAATGATCAAGTCAAGGAGGATGAGGTGGGCAGGGCATGTAGCACGAATGGGGGAGACGAGGATATTGGTAGGAAAGCCAGAAAAAAAGAGACGAGTGGGAAGAGCAAGGGGTAGGTGGGTGGACAATATTAAAATGGATCTTAGAGAGATAGGATGGAATGGGATGGATTGGATTGATTTGGTTCAGGATAGGGAACAGTGGAGGGCTCTTGTGAACACGGTAATGAACCTTCGGGGTTCCATAAAATGCTGGGAAATTCTTGAGTAGCTGCAGAATTGGCGGCTCCCCCAGAAGGGCTCAGCTCCATGAGTAAGTATTATTTTTTATTGCTAGTGGGGTGGGACTAAGTCCCTTGTACTGCGGCCACTTCTGGCCTACTGTACCAGCCCCAGATGATAGGTGAGGGTGATTGTGGAGCAATTGGTGGAATGAAGGCTGGGAGAAACCGAAATACTATGAGAAAGCCTGTCCCAGCGCCACTTTGCCCACCACAAATCCCACTTGACCAGACCCCGTGATCGAACCCGGGCCGCCGTGGTGGGAAGCCAGCGACTAATCGCTTGAGCTATGGCGCGGCCTTGAGTGAGTGAGTGAGTGAGTGAGTGAGTGAGTGAGTGAGTGAGTAAGTGAGTGAGTGAGTGAGTGAGTGAGTGAGTGAGTAAGTAAGTAAGTAAGTAAGTAAGTAAGTAACGGACTTGATGAACGCGTTGCCAGGTAACAACTCTGTAAACACAAAAGTATGCTATGACGGCCAAATCAGTAGAGAACTTTCTGTTTGTTCAAGTGTCATGTTGCAATGAAAACACAACATGGAAGCAAACAACGTAAGTATCTACACATAACACGTTCCTGCAATGGAGCTGGGATAGCGTACTCGGTATAGCGACTAGTTAAGGGCTGGACGACCGAGAGGTCGGAGTTCGAGTCCCGGTAGGATCAAGAATTTTCCCTTCTCCACGTCGTCCAGACCGGCTCTGGGCCCCCCCCAGCCTCCTATCCAATGGGTACCGGGGGCCCTTTCCGCATGGTTAAAGCGGCCAGGCCGTAAAGATGACCACTCACCTCCAATTAGTGGCGAGGTCAAGAAAATTTGGACATATACATCCATTTTCCCATACGTCTTCATGGCTTAGTGCCTTAATTAGTTAAGCACAGGGACAACTTTACATTACACGTAGCTGAGTTCTAATGACCTCTAAACTTGAATTAGTTTCAAACGAAGGAGAGGGTACGTAAAACAGTCTCTGTACGGCTTCAATTGATTACTTACTTCAGCAGCAGAACCTGAAGTTTCAATGCGCCTAATAATGGACGCGTTTCTGAGCAATTCAATCCAACCGCCATCCTCGCAATCTAAGATCCATTTCCTTCTGCCTTCCAAGAGCTCTTCCACGCCAACGGCTGTATGCATTCCTTCTTTACCCCACTAGAGCTCACTGCAAGTATCCTGACAATATCAGGTGACCACTAAATGTCGGGGAGTCCCTCGTTATGAAACTTCAGTTACTCACATAAGCATTCGTCCTTCTTAGCACCAAACGTCTTCGTATGCGCTTTCAATTGCGATTAAATCGGCAGGAAACGATTTATTGCAACACAGTACGTCACAAGCGCCCACCAGATGATTTTTTTAATCTCAAGTAACTCCATAATAGTCCATGATCACGTTCAGTCTACTTTAGTACGCCAAGTTGGCTCCACCCCTCTCCCGGCAGGTGAACAAACCGGTCCCAATACTTGTCATGTATCAACAGGACACAAGTCATATATATATTTATCTATTTATGGTTCACTTAATGATGCTGTCAGGAGCTCAGATTATTAGCTTGGAATTATTAGGACGATCAGCGAAAAATGAATTGGAACGAATGCGGAGGGAGGCGGTCGTACTATTCTGCCATCTTCCTGGAGGCCCATGAAAAAAAAAACCTGCCAAAATAAACGGTCTCCGAGCCGAGATCTGAACCGGGACATTCAGAATACAAGGATACTTGGTTCCCAGATACAAGCCCTTGTTCTCGTAAGACGGTTACGGACGACTACTTCAAACTGCAGGTCCGTGTGACTTCTAAATACACAGTGTGTCCAGGTTCTGTTAGGACTGTGTTCATTAAAAATAGAAGGCGTGAATTATTTTCAAAATTTCACTCTTTTTATTCAAAATAGTCTCCTTCAGAATCAATACATATGGTCGATTGAACAGTTTTCGAAAACAGTCACTGTACTCCTTTT